TTAATATATATATATATATATATATACATAAATATATATATTATTAATAAAATTAGGGTATCATAAATATATATATTATTATAAAAATTGGGTAGGGCTTCTCTAGCTTCACCAACAAGACATGAGGTAGATAGGCAACTTAGTGAAAGTGGATTTAATTGAGGTAAGTCTACCCCTAATGAAAAGATACTTAGCCTTCCCCAAGTCAATTTTAAAGCTAAATCTTTAAACTATGGGATCCCAAACAAATCTAGGTCATCTTGAATAAGAAATTAACATATCCAAATACTTGATTGGAAATCCCTCTACCTTCCATCCCATTAAGGCTGCCAATCTCTAAGTAGCCTCACTCGGAAAAGGACTACTTGCCACCGCTGTCTTCTCAAAGTTCGCTCTCAAGCCTTAAACGACTAGACAACACGTGAGAAACCTTCTCAAACTCATAATTTGACCAACCTCCGCATCATAGAAGATTAATGTATCATCTGCATATTAGAATGCAAAATACTTGGGTCATCTCTTGATACCCTAAATCCTTTGACCTCACTCCACAACCCTTCTAAACATGAGAATAAATATTTTCACCCTTAAAGAGTGATCAGAATTGGTGATAAGGGTCACCTTGTCTCACGCACTTAAGCTTTGAAGAATCATTTTGGGCTGCCTTTAATGAATATAAAAAAATGCGCTTTCGACATTGATCCATCTTCTCCACCTTCCACCAAAGCCTATCTTCTTCATAATTCTTAAAGCATGTTCCAAAATCCATTTTATTATATGCTTTATCCATATCCAATCTACACATAATGCCAAATAAGTTATTTGCCTTTCTTAAATGTATACATTCTTTATAATCAGAATACTATCAATGATTAATCTTCTTTTTGTGAATCGGATTGAGTTTCACTAAGAATGAAATGGAGCACCTCTTAAGTGTAGTAGCCAAGAACTTTGCAATTATGTTATATAGAGGCCAGATATCATTCAAGCTATCCATCTCTTCTTTCTTAGGTATCAAAGCGATATACATTGAATAAATATCTTTAATAGTAACCCCTCTGAAAAAAAAAAAAAAATCCTCCACCATCAAAACATTCTCATACTTACCGCGTTCCAAAATCTCTGAAAGAAAACCAAATGAAATCCATTTGGCTTGGGGCCTTATCCCCTGCCAACCAAAACAATGCCTACCACATTTCATCCTTCCAAACATCTAAATCCAAAAAGTTCACAATCTACTTAGGTAAAGTTTTGAAGGAAATACTTGAAGAATTAATCTGTAAGTTTTTCTCTATATTGAAAGCTTATTTGAAATGGTTTACCATCTTTCTATGTCCCCTTCCTAGACAACTTCAATATTTATTCCCGTAATTTATTTTTCCTTTTGGGTTGGAAATTGAATTATTAGAGCATTTAAGAATTACTAGATGATTATTCTCAAAAGTAGAATTTGAAAGTTGAGCTTTCTAATACATAGATTTCACAATCTAAAAATTAGATAGCCTCTATTCAATCTCAAAGTCATTATTGTTTCAATTGTATAGATGGTACGATTAGGATTTTTTTTTTATTGAGATTAATCTATGGGATGGAAAGTTTACATTCCAAAATTTAGAGTCCTAAAATTAATTCTAGGTGGGGATTTACGCAAGGGAGTAAATATAGATAGGGCAAGGATGATGCCTTGAATAATCAAATTAAGGCGCATCTAAAAAATTTACTAGAAGAGGTTATTTCAATGCTAAAAGCCTTCAAATTCGATAAGCTCGACCTCAAGATGTATGAAAATAATACACTTTGCAAAGCATTATCTATCGGGCAATGATTTCATAGAACGGTTGTATGGTAATATGATGCAACAACTTTCAAAAACCATGTTATGACTATTTGTTTGATCCAAATTTTGAAATATACACTCTTTTTATTCTAACGAACAATAAAAAAAAAATAATTTAAAAACATAACCTAAAAAGTATTTTTTTAGCTCAATTAACATAGGCTGTTCATTTTAGTGAGATGCTTAAATCTAGGCCTTAAAAGAATTTTTTCATTCCCAATTTTTTTGGATGGATTTATTACCATTAGATGAACAATGTAAAAAAAAGAAAAAAATGATTTTGAATTTATAAAAGCTAAGAGTTTGAAATTCACCAAATGAATGGTCTAGATTCGTTTTTAGAGGGGACTCATTTTGACCATATTTAGGGTTCAAATTGAATCTTTTTTTTTTTTGGATTGATTATTGTGATGAAGAAAGTGTGTATACAAAATTTTGGAACATACAAATACCACAAATATGATTTTTTAAAAATGTCGATGCATTATACTACGATACAACCGTTGCATGAAATCATTGCATTAGTCAATTTTTGAGATTTACGAGCTTTAATTTTCAACATTGTGAGGGTAAAATGTCTTTCAGTAAAAAGACGCGGCCAATCTCGTTCACTTGTAAATCGTACACGCTTGCTCAAAAAGCCACGTTGCAACGTTAGGAAAAGTGACTCTGGTTTCTTCCCGCCAAAAAGTATATAAACACCGCTGTTTTCTGTTTCATTGACTCCATAGTTTTCCCTTTCATTTTTGACGCAAGCATTTGTTCTCTCTCTGTTCTTTGAAGTTTCAAACCCTAACTCTCTCTCTCTCTCTCTCTTCTCTCTCCCCTGAATGCATTGGTTATTGCCTTCGTGTCTCATCGATTTGGTTCTTCACTGGTAATCTCCTCAACGAATCCCTAATTCTTGTTTTCAATGACTTGATTTTCAGATAAATAGCCCTAAATCTTCTTTTTATAACCGTGATTCCTCTTCCTGGTTGTGTTTTTGGCTGATTTATTTTTCAGTTAATAATCAGTAACCCGCGTTTGATAATTCACTGAGATTTCAGTTAACCAATGCCATTTCCAGCAGTTTCTCTTTCATACGGTCTGGGTATATAGGTGATATTTTTATATCTCTACCGGGTTGTTAATCACCATTCTCATTGGTCTCTATATGGTCTGGATGTTTGGTGTCTCTGGTATTTTGGGTTATTATGGTGAATGAATTAATAAATAATCCACATCCTATTTTGCTACTGTCCTTTTTTTTTCAGTTTCTTGATGATCTTCACTTCATCAGATTTTAACCTCTCCCAGTTTTAGTTAACTCCTAGACAAATGTTTATGTTCTCTGTTATTGTTTACCACTTCTTGACATTCAACCCTTATAAACTCTGGTTGTTAGGTCAATTTTGAATGTTTTTATAACACATGGGGATAAAGCTAGGCTTATCCTATGCAGTGATTTACCCAAAAAAGAAAAACTTACTCGTAGGGATTGCTTGATGATCTACATCCTTATTATCTTGATTTCTGATTAAACGTGAGTGTTCTTGATGCAAAAAAGGGTGGATTCATATGAGCAAATAAATACTTCCATAAACAAATTTTCTTTTTGGAGAGGGAATAGTTAGTAGTGCATCACCTACGAAACTTTCATGAAATAGATATTTACAAAATATACTGAGTGACGGATTACACTGATTTCAGGGAAAGAACAATTTGATGCCTGTTTCTTGCGAGAATGTGTAAAGAGAGGTTTTGGTCTCTCTTCTTGCTGCTTTCCTTATGGGCCATACTTCTTTCAATTGTGGTGGCAGAAACAGATGAATCAGATGGTAACTTTGAAATCTCCCCGCATTTTAATCTTATACTTGATTGTGGTTTTTATGTGAAGTTCCTTGTTTTTCAATAATGAACCAACTATTCAGATATGGCTTGAAACAGATAAAATCTTAGACCTATATTTATAATCTTTTTGAGTGTTAATCCATAAAAGCAACTGAAGATTCATTTGAAATTGCCATACCTTAATCAAGACTGCGATATTAATTAAGCTCATAGACAGTTAACAGAATAACCGCAGAAATGGAGTATAGTTCTATGAATATGTTGAATTTTAAAAGGGAGTTGTTGTTTTCACTCTTGTTATTATACCCGTTGCATAGATAGAAATTCTGCCCAGCAACTGTTTTTGTATTCAAATTCTGCCCAGCAACTGTTTTTGTATTCGACGCCATGTCTTGGGTGGCAATCCCCTGTAAGAGAGCATGTTTTGATTAATAAGTTTTTCTACTATTTCATAATGTAACCCATAACAGTTGAAAGCCATTGCTTGAAATAACAGATGTGACTATGAATAGCCGCATTTCAATTACGGGTAATAATGGGGTGATAATCAACCAACAAAAGTGATTAATATGAGCCTTCAAAGTGATAGACGCAATAAAACAGAGGCACCCTTCTACTATAATATGGCATTATTAAAGGTTTCCTATGAAATAATGCATGAGAAGATGAGGTGCTTTGAACTTCAACTAAGAATCTGATTATTTATTGCATATCTCTATTACAGTTCGAGCTCTTCAAGATATATACGTTTCCTTGAACTTCCCATTTCAACTAATTGGGTGGAACTCAATTGGTGGTGATCCTTGTAGAGAATCTTGGATGGGTATTTCCTGCTCCGTTTCGGCAGTTACATCCATGTAATAAGCTCTTGTTTTCTTTATTTTCTGGCTTAAATCCTTGAAGACCTAAATACCATGTTGATGTGTGCGGCTTTCTTGACAGTGACATTCATGGACTCGGTTTAACAGGTACCTTGGGATACCAGCTATCAAACCTCGCGTCCTTGAAAGCTTTGTGAGTAATTTGTACATAGAAATACATATAATAATAATGTGTATATGTTGACACATACTCATTCAAGGCACATTTACACACACACACATGTACTTTAGCAGGTTAACTAGGGATGTATCCCTGAGTATCTATATTATATATCTATAGTGGGAAGTGATTTCATGCCACGGTTTTATGATACATGTACTCTTTTGGTTTATAGTACATGTACATTTACTGAAACAATCTTCAAAAGCCATGCCAAGGGTATTTGTTTGACCCCAATTTTTAAACACATAATATTTTCATTTTGATAAACAATCATCAAAAAAAAAAAAAATCCCTAAAAAGTATATATATTGTTTTTAACCCACTTAACTTAAGTCGCCATTTGATAAGTGCTTAGATCTAGGCCTTAGAAGAAACTTTTTACTTTCCCAATTTTGGAGATGGTTTTGTTATCTAGATTTACAATGTTAGAAAAGAAAAAACTGATTTTGAGTTCTTAAAGGCCTAGATCTTAAAATTCACCAAATGGACAGTTGATATTCATTATTGGATGAGGGCTTATTTGACCATATGTAAGGTGCAAATTGCATTTTATTTTCCATGGAATTAATTGTCGGGGTGAAGATAGTGCATACAATTGTGGTTTCATTATATTATAGTGACCCAATGACATAAAATCACTACCCCATATATATATATATATGAATATGAATATGAATATGAATATGAATATGAATATGAATTTTGTAAAATATTAATGTGGTTTGTTCTTTACGCATAGGGATGTCAGCAATAACTCCATCCACGACGCAATCCCATCTCAGCTTCCATCAAACATCACATATTTGTGAGTTGCTTGTTCCTTCTGGTTGGAATCCTTAGGAATTATATGTTTACATTGTTCTAGAAGAGGTATTATCCTTATAGATTAATCAAAAGGAAAATACGATTGATTTTATATCACAGGAATTTGGCCTATAATAACTTCAATCAAAGTCTTCCCTACTCAATCTCAGAATTGAGCTCACTCGCTAGCCTGTGAGTTTCTTCTCCTCTGATGGATCTCATACATCTGTTGCCAGAATACTGAAAGTTTTTTTTTTCTCTTTGATGCAGGAACGTGAGCCACAACTCCCTCTCAGGACCTATAGGGGATATCTTCAATAAGTTGCAGAACCTCTCACTTTTGTAAGATCTCACTTTACTTTGGCTACATATCAAGTAGATACCAATGTTATTAAACCAGCAATCTGTCACTGGTCTAGTATTGAATACCTTTGACACAACCATCACTAATGTTTTCTGCAAATTATATGGTAATATTAAGCTAATGTATTAGTTTAAGGCAGTTGTTCATATTCGGCTATCACTTTTATATTTGGCCATCATCTTTCTGATGTCGAGGCTTTTAATAGGGATAAGAGCATTGATTCCTATACTGGAGGCTAACCATAGAAATGCCAATGATAGCATTTTGTTTTTTCATAATACTTATTTGCTGAAAGATTATTAGTAGACCAGACGTCTGGCCTACAAAATGGTTAAATACATAACCCTGCCATCTTCTGATGTCATACTGCTCCACGTGTCATTCTTGAATGGTTAATCCCACAATGACCCACAGAATGAACAGATTCAAACTCTTCTTCTGCAGATCTGGTTTACAGACTTTACATTTTCATAACAAAATGGATAACTATGACTTTTCATCACTTTTTTGTCAGATTAGGATTTTGAATACTAGGGTTTCAATGGTTTTCATATCCATGTTTAACATCAACAGACTTGGTATAAATTGATTATCAGAGAAAATTGAGGGGTTACTCTGCTGCATTTTGAAACGATTAGAAATGAGCCATATGCGATGACATAATTGCAATGCGTAGAAATACCCATGGAATATGTTTGTATGCAATACACAATGTCTCTTAACACCAAATAGAGGGATATATTTGTGACAATGGAAGACGCACTTTTGAGGGATGGTGGGGGCTTAGGTGTGAACATGCTCCTAAAATCTTTTTTTTGAGTATGTTAACGTTCTTCCAAAATTGATACGGTTCCTCAGCATGAAACATGGGGGTATGTGGAGGCATGTGATTATTGATATTTGCCTAGTATATCTGCAGTGAGGTTTGGTGTGCAAAGTTGAAGAGGAAAAATATATCTGGAATGTGGCTAGTGATAAGTAGCTTTAGTAAAGTGTTTTAGGAATGGTATTCATTTGGGAAGGGGGTTGGGGTGACTTGTAGGCAAACTTTATATGGTGGGTGCGGTTTGTATAGAGCTGAGGCTCTAAACAATCAAAGTAAAGAGCACCTTCAAATGGTATCGAGAAATGTGGTTTCAATACTGGAAATCTTTGTGATAGCCTTAAAATATATCTTCATTTTTAATTATAAAATTTTAAGCTTAAAAAATAGTGTAGATCGAGCAGATACATGAAAACTTGAAAATCTTGAAAATTGACGGTCAAAAAATGCGTTACAAGATGCATTATTTCCAAAACTTGAAATCCATTTTTTTCTCATGTCCATGCATCTTGATGTTGAGATGATCAATTTGAAGATATTTGGGCATCAAAACAACCTCTTCTAGTGAAATTTTTGAGGTGAGCTCTGATTTGATTGTTTAGAGCCTCGGCTCTATATGAACTGTTTCCTTATATAGTTGCTTCCTTGGGTAGTTGGAAAATGGCAGCTAGTGAGAGCTCACAGTTATGTACTGTTATTCAGAGGGGCCATGCAGTATTATTTGGAAGTCGTACTTCATAGGTGTTTGGATTTGGATGAAATGGAAAGATTGTTTCTTACTTTGAGAACTTCTTAGAGGGCTTATGTTGGGGATCAGGGTAGTAGTGAAAGAGTAGATTGGGAACTTTAAACCTTGGCTTATTTTCAGTTGAAAGCATATAAGTTGTTGCGTGGTACAACTGGGTTGTTTTTAGATTACTTCAGTTTGGTGAAGGGATGTCTCCCTCCATTTTCAGTTTCTTATGGTTAGTTATAACAAAGAAAACTATTTGCATAGTAAAAATTCGGCATTTGATGTTGCCTATAATGTCTCTTCTTTGTCGGGAGCAGGTAGAAGTCATTGGTCACCTTCAATTTCATTGCAAATCTAGTTGGTTCGTATTGGGAGCTGTACTGAGCTTGTTTTAAATAATGTAGGTATTTTTTTTTTTGTTTAAGGAAAATCTTATTTGGTGTTTAGGGTAAGCTTGGATGGCCATTAGATGGCACCAACTGGGTTTTTCCTTGTGGTGTTCATATTCTATGCTATCATCTAGAGAATTTAGAAGGAATGCAACAATAAGTTCTTTCCCAGCATGGTATTTGATGTGGGGGACTTCAATTGAGATTGCTAGGGGGCATGCTGTGTCTAGGGTGCAAGTGGGCCAGGCTAAGGTTGCATCGGCCACAGCCCAGGACCAAAGGACCCTGACCTTTGGTCAGGCTCGAAAAATAAGGCCTAGGCCTGGCTTGTTTCAAAAACGCCAAAACCTTGGCCTGGTCCATTCCGGCTTGGTTATTTCCAAATTCCACCCAAAACATGTTGGATTATTCGAATAATTAGAAAATTAAAAGAATATTATAAATTTAATTTCAAGATAAATAACTGGTGGAATATGTTAATGAGGTGGACTAAAAATAACTAGAAAATAGTTCGAGAATCTTAGAAGGGTAGGAATGATAAATATGAAATAATTAGAGAAAAGTCGAATATCAAAATTAAAAAAATCAACAAAATGTACCCCTAAAAACATGGGTGGAATATTAACGATCATATGATTTAGATTAAAAATTATGTAGATAATAATGCAATTCACATAAATTACGTTATACATAAATTACATAAATTACGTTATATGTAAATTACATATGTAACTTACATATATTATGTAATATACATATACTACAAAGAGTTATATTTGTAAACTGCATAAACTATATTATGTAATTTATCATTATATATGTTTATATGCAAATTAAATATAACAATGGATTATCGGGCCTAAACTAAGTCTGAGGCTCAGGCCCCAACCTGTAAATCTCATAGGCCTTAAATTTAGGTCCAGTCTGTCCTGAAGTGTCCCATGAAGGGCCCAAAAACCAAGCCATGTCGGGCTGGGCCTGAGACCCCATTGTGTCCCCGGCCTGCTTGCACCCCTTGCTGTGTTATGGTCTCTACAAACACAAAAAATGCATAGGGTCAAATGAGCCTTTTTGTATTGCCACTGAGGACCACAAGCGATATGAAAGTTGGGACCTCCTCAAGACATCTTCAAGAGAAACCTTCCTTGATGTCAAAAGGTTGTCTGGCTTAGGAACATACTCTAGGCATAGGTTGGTAAAGTGGTAGCTGCCACAACATGACATCTAGAATTCCATTCCCATCAGGTCACATATTAACATAAAATAAAAAGGAAAAAAAAGAAAAGTAGTCTGGGTCAAGAAATGACTAGGGTTGTGATCCATGATGACAGGAGGATAGTTTGTAAGTTTTCTGAGGATGTTTTTGGCATATCATGTTATGGACTAAGCAAATACTGCCATGGTTGGCATAGCTTTTTACTAAGCTATCCATCGTTAAGGGTGATTTGTTTTCACTAGGTGGATTAGAGGAAATCCTCCAGGCTCATAGAGATTTTAGGAAAATTTTGCTGAAATTTGGGGTATTTGACCCCAAGAAAAATTAAGTAAGGTTACTATTCTCACTTGTGATTTTACTATTCTCAGGGGAAATCAAAACAACTATTGGCTGGTATTGCCACCCATGTTTTTGGTTCTGAAAAAAAGAAACATTGGATGAGAATTGCAGCACCTCAAACTAAGTAGATTTGTATTGTTAGATCATGTTTTCCACTTATGGCTTTGCCATATGGACCATCTACACCACTCAAGATTGAATCAGGGACAAAATGTTCAATTCATAGCCTGGCCCGTCCCATGCTTTCATTATGGGGTTTCTTTCTTTGACAGCAATTTACTACCATAGACAAGGGTTATAAATTATTGATTTAATTTATGTTCCTACCAAGGGTTAGTTGGGATGCACAGGTGGTTATCAAAATTTGTCAGACTTTCAAAAGTCATCATTTTTTGGGCAATCTTATTTGCACTGTTAGAATAAAAGTGACTAGAACATCACCTCAATATCTTTTTGGCAGAGGAAAGATAAGAGTGAACACAATATTTCCAGATTAAAATCTTCAATCAGTAGAGAACCTGTTACACACTGAGATAAGGCCTGAGGCTAATGCTGGCTTTATCTCTTCTTATACTTTATTTTATGCTAACAACTATGTTGATACCATGATATCCCACAGCGAAATTTCATGTTACATGGGATTGATATTGATATTGATACTTAATAAGTTTCCTAAGTTACTTAGGAAACTAGTTGAAGTTTCCTACTTGCTAATAAAATTGCTAATATATTCTTACTTATATATATATATATATATATATATATATATATATATATATATATATATATATATATATATATATATAGTATAGTATAGTATAGTAGTAAGTAGTAAGTACGTAAGTACGTTACGTTACGTTACGTTACGTTAGTTA